GCTTTGCGCAAGGACGCCGGTCGGTGGGTGGCAAATCCACAACAGGCATATGATTGGATCTGCAAGAATCTTCGGAATGGGAAGCAGGTCGGCGCCGAGGACATTTTCTATGTAAATGACGCCGACGTGCTACTAGGCTGTACTGACCATGTATCAGCCTAGGTTTAAAAAAAAAACACCAACTTGAATCACACACTGAAGGATGCACCAGAGGCAGGTATCTCGATCTTTGTTTCCTTTCGCCTTTCACAACGTACGTAACTTGACATGGTATCTCTCGCTCCATCTGAGGCTAGCAGATGAACGCAAGAGATGCAGCAGCAAAAGCCGGACCTACCAAGATGACTTTGAGAACCCCTGCTCAAATACATAGAGCGGGACTGCTGCTCCTCACCACAGTCACCGGTGTTTGGACCACAGCTGTTAAGCAAGCCAAAAGGTGCACCATGATATGTGTTGTGTAACGTGGCACCTGACCACATGGTAAAGATTTTGGTGAGCTGGGTAGAAGTGAATGAAGATGAGGGTTGTGGGATCCAGCTAGCTGACAGGGGAGAGTTTAAGATGAAGCTGGGGTTTAAAGGAAGTAGGATACCTTCAGGGTCTTTAACCTGGCACTTGGCATCTTAGAATTGCCGGGGCAACGGTTTGTACGTATAGAACGGGAGGGGTTAGACAGAGTTCATATAGAATGAACTGAATGAACCAACTTTTCCCAACCTTGAGATTGAAGCCCACGACTGAGGAGTATGCTCACGGATCGTGAGAGAGATGCTCTGGAGGAAAGCTGGCAGAGGCTTGATCAGGCTCTTGGGGTATTCAACGTGGCATTTGACAAGCTGGTGTATGCTAGTTGGCTGTTTGTTGCTGTTACCACAATGAAACTACTGCTACTTACTGTACAGTACCATACAGTACCCCTTCAATTATGGTTGTTTTCCAAGGAGAGCCTCTTTTGTTTTCATCAGGAGGGAGTGCTTGAGAAAGCTGTTCACGTGGCGATACCGCAGCAATCAAAGAAGTTCATGAAGACAATTGGCAAGAACAGGAGAATACAGCGTTTACTGGGTTTTGTGTATTTGGATTTTCAAGAAGGCAATGTGCTTAGCTTGTGGGGTCCCCCCTGTGATCCACCAAAAAAGGTTCAAAACGGAGCTGTTTAAGTAACCGTTTTATACAAAATTCACACACCTTCAAAACATACTTTTTTAATTGACCCTTAATACTGAATATATGTATTTCCAGTAATTACCGGGGCTTGTGTGTTGGTAAAGCAACAGTGCAATAGCCTCTGTAACTCCAGGACCTTGCCAACATACACAACGGTTGACTGGCATTACCACCGTGAACTCCGTCGTTGGCTGTGCGGAATTGAGAAATTGGCATCGCTTGGATTTCCCGTGAATGAGGAGATTGCGAAGATCTACCAGCAGGACTAAACTCCAAAGTAAGTGCCATGTTAAGACACTGTCCAGCTTTGGTGTTTGTTTAAACTTAAATGAAATTACACTAGCTAATTACTGCTCAAAAGGCAGAAATAGAGGTCGTGAACAGTAACCAAGATGGTGTTGGAGGATGTGATGGACATCTCAGCATGGAAACACCTGCATGTGAGAGCTGGGAACACACAGCATCTTCCTAACACAGCTCCTTGCTTGTGTTACACTCCCGCTGAAGACTAACATGGACCCTGAAAACTAAGTTGTATTAATTTGTTAGTATATAGAGGGCAACGGTCTTTCAGAGTGCCATTCTCAGGGTCCATGTTAGTTATGCGTATATAGTTTTCAGGGTGCTACTGTAGCATTGTGGAGTAGGGTCGCTGCTGGCTGTTTTTTGGAAACCGTTGGTGAAGCAAGGCATGCGTGATCCTTGCCTGTCTCTCGTGCATTGAGTTCTATCCCATTGACAAGTTGCCACCACGCTTGCTGATGGAATACCAGTTGATCAAGGTTGCAGCAGATGGCAGATGCTTTTGGAGCTGCATGTGGCTTGCCACAACAGCATCCAAAAAGCAGCTGTGGGGTTGGTTCAACCGACAGCGAACCTCCCAAGGCGTGGCTTTCACTAAGTCTGAGGCAAATATGGAGAAGGATAACGTGGTCGACTGGGCTCTTCGTTTAACTGACCCGCCACCGGCGACCCGAGAGAGGGTAATGAAGGGAGAGTCAGCAATTATGGAAGACCTGGTGCCTTTGAGTTCAATACCAACAAACCGGTTATTTTTCTTTTCCAATCACTGCTTGGGGCCCATGAGAGGTGTAGTCTAGTGTACTTTAACCTGGCACCTAGTAAGGATTGGGCTGCTCAGAAGTTACAAGTGAGGATCATTGTTGTGACTGGATTTGTCCGTCCTGGCATGAGCGGAACAAGTGTTCACTCGCCACATGGAGACGTCAAAGGCGACGTGTGGTTGTGGCAACACCCAGTTGTTGATGGTGAGGGGAAGTCGGCCACCCACTATGATCTCATTAGCCTGGAATATGCCTTTTTGAATGGAGATGAACCAATTCCAGAGGAGGACTGCAACCCCCCTTCCTCCACTACCTGTCTGACATTGTTCCCTTTGTTCAAAAATAGGCAGCACTTCAGTGTCCATGTTAAATAAACACCGGTTTCAACAACTTCTGTTGGCAGGGTGTTTTGGAGAGATACGTATACGAAAACAGACTTAAATTACTAAATGTACTGTCCTCGGTTCATTGGGACCCTACTCCGTTACCTTGTAGGAAAAAGGAACGGGTGAAGACCTTGAAGAGCTCTTGGAGTGGCATACAGAGGTACCAGATGGCATATGGTCTGCATTTGCTGAGAAAGAAGGAATTGAGAGGCTGCTAGATGAGGAACTGAATCCGTACTACAAGATTGCGATCAGGGGGGATTGCTTTGTGACATTTCATGAGAAGGACTGCAGCTCCTGTGAGAACATGTGTCGCACGATGCCATGGACATTGTGTTCTTGCAGGTTCTATGTTAAAAAATACCAACCAACACATACATAAACGTGTCTCTAAAGAACGGTGAGCGAGCCGTGAGGATTTTGGTGGTTCTGTGGCAGCGGCCGTTGAAGAGGCGACCTTCTTGGCTGACCTTCGGGATACAGAGATTGAGACCCATAAGGCTACAAAACTACCTGAATTGAAGACCCTGGCATTGATGAGGGGGCTCAAGTTCAAGAGCAACATCAGGAAAGACCGTCTCATCGAAATGATAGTTGTTGAGCGATGCAAAGAAGACCTGAAAAGTGACATTGAGAGACATCAGGAGGTGACTGGACTGGACACGGGGAAGGCAGAAAAGGTGAAGAGCCAGGATAATGAGAAGGGGAAGGAAAAGAAGTCCCAGCACGAGAAGAAGGAAGACAAGGAGAAAGGCCAGAAGAGCGGAGAGGAAGAGGGCCAGGGAAAGAAGAAGGAAAAGAAGGAAAAGAAGGAAAAAAAGGATGACAAGGAAAAAGAACACAAGGAAAAGAAGGAAAACAAGTACAAGGAACAGAAGGAGAACCAGAAAGACAAGTTCAAGAAGAAGGAGACGGGGATTGAGAAGGAAAAGGATCAATCAGAAGAGACAGCAACTGTCAAGATGGAGATTGAAGTGAAGGTGAAAAAGGAAAAGCAAAGCCCAAAGCCTCCTCAAAAGGGTTCCAGCTCTTTACAAAAGCAGATTCCACCACCTGAGGGAGCTTTGCCACCAATGCCGCCGCCCAATGAACCTCCACCCAAAGATGCTACTACACCCAAAGCTGCGGCTGGTGGACAGACTGCTGCCATGGTCATGGCCCCTGGAGGGTCCCATGTTGAAGCATCTTCCTCCTCGGGATGCCAGGATAAGGAAACAAAAGGTGATGAACAGCACGACATTACCAACCAGATCTTTCCCATTGACGATGCTGAGGAACAGGATAAAGAGGTGAGCAACAAGGAGAAGTTCCTTCGAGCAGACCTTCTAGTGCCAGGCATCTCCCTCAAAAAGTTCAAACTGGCACTGGACGAAGAGGACGCAGTACCACCAAATATGCTTTCTTTGTTGTGTGTGGGAGAAATTTGCCGATACAAAGTCAAAAAGCCCATGCTACAACGAATGGTCATTGGAGATCCGTCCAGAATATCCAGCTTTTGGGAGCAAGCTGCACGGCATTTGGACAACAACCCACTGGCAGCTATATTCCTCACCTCCGACACTCAGCTGTCCATTTCCGAGGCTTGGGGTAGGGAGAACACATATTTTTAACATAGACTATGTTGGAGGTGTTTTGCCCATTAAGGACACACCATGTACATACCTACAGTACCTCATTACCTCTGATCTTTCAGGTTTATGCTTTGTTGTGGTGGGAAGAGGACACACCAAAACTAACATAGACCTGGATGGATTGTTGAGTCTGTATGAACCTACTAAATTTGCCCGCGCACCTGCAGGTGCTGGAACATCTTCCAATCAGCTGCAATTGCTGGGAGTTCCTCTATGTCTTCAAAGTCCCAGTGAATTCGCCTTTGGGGAGTGATGAGAAAGACTACAGTTGTGTGGAGGTGCAACGGTTCACCAACGATGGGATTCCAGCACCCCATCCCACAAACGAACCCTTGAACGTGGAATACTTCTCTGTGGGCAAACTCGGTGGCTTGGTTGGTGGCTTGCTCAATGTGAAGGACAAGCGGAAGATCATGAGTAGGGAGGATGTGACTGAGCTTGCCATGGAGACAACCCGGACCAAGATTGATGCCAAAAGGACAAGTGTGGGGCATTTAACATGGCATCAGACAAGCTAGTGTATGCTAGTTGCCAGCGGGAAAAAAACAAACAACATTTTGTATTGAGTTTGGAGAGTGTTTCAAGCCCTGTGCACCTACATAGACTTGTGTTTGTGCAGGAAAGTCGTGGAGGACGCTGAGATTGAAGCTGTCAAAAAGAAACAAAAACATAATGCATCCTGCACATCATTGGAAAGCCAAAAGGACAACTTGCTCTCGCAAAAGGATTCATGCGAAGAGAAGCTGGCCATGTGGAATAGGGTTCTGACTATGATTGTTTCCTCCGAGACACACCATGGCACAAAGAAGGCTCCCGATGTGAGCTGGCAAGACTACTTTGAGGAAGGATTGGGAAAAAAGATAGATGAGGTACCGATGACATTCCAACTCAAACAGCTCAAGTTTGAGGATGCAGTTGTGGCCCTGTCAACACACATCGCATTGCTGCGGAAAGAACTGGAAAAAGTTGAGAAACAGGTGAAGACTCTGTCGGACCGACTGGACAAGAAGCAGCAGGCTGTGAAGAGGCGAGATGAAAAGGTGAAAAAGAAAGCGGAGAAAGTGGTGAAAGCTGTGAACGAAGGCAATGAACTTGGCACTACTCAGAAGCAAAAGAAGAGACGTCGGCAGCTATACCATGCCAAGAAGCTTTGGAGGGGCAAAACCACCGTTTGCCGTCGTCCTCGCCACCGCACCAAGACCAAGGACCCAAACGGCTTTAGTAGCCCTCTCCAGGAGCCACGTAAAGTCATCACCCTGGATCAGAAGCTCCAGGCCGTTGCATACTTCAAGCAACTGAAGGCTGAGAAGGCGGCAGCCAAAGAGTCTCTGCTGGAACCTCGCCCAGCCACCATGACCAGGGCTGAATTGAAAGCACGGAAGGAGAAGCGTGAGAAGCTGAGGGGTGTTGCGCGCCGCAACATACAAGCCGCGGTCAGGGACAAGTTCAAACAATTCCTCTCACAGGGAAGTCAAGTACTCAAGTGGGAAAGGGTTGCAGAAAAAGAGGCTTGGGAGGAGATTCCTGCTATGGTGCGTTCCAGGCTTACGTGCACTACCAACTCTTGGCGTGAAAAGCTTGGTCTTCCTCGCAAAGGCAAACCACTGGGAGGGAAAATTCCTATCACTTTGCAGAAGGAGCTCGATATGCTGATGATGGAAATGTCTATGGGGTCTTCCTCCGTGTCTGTCAGAAAAGAGATGGTCACAGCAGAGGCCGTTGTATCTTGATCCTGATTTTCTGTAGATATTTGGGTCTCAAATATTCACATTGCAGAGTCTAGGTTAAAATAACTTAGAATACTAGAATACCTTAAATTGTTGTCACCTCAAACTCCAAACCTCACCATTCTCTAGGAAGCCACCACAAGTTGCACCTGTTGATGGCTGGAGGAAGCTTTTTGTTACTTTTCAGGTTCATTCTTTAACCTGGCACCTGGAAGCAAAGGTATCAACGATGACTGACTTGGTGGCGGACTGGAACTCCAGTCTTGACAGTACCAAGCAGATGGTGGAAGAATGGAATGCCAAACTTGTCCAAGAGTACCGCGAGAACAAACTCAGTCCACAGGCTCTCATGGCAGCAGTAGAACCACTTCCCAAAATGTTGGACGCTCCAAGCATTGGTTGGTCCAGGAACTGGAGGTCGAATTGGGGCTGGAGTTCTTTAACCAGAGCGTCTGAAGAGGGTGTCTGGCTTAGCTACGATCATCCAGACATGAGCGCTTCCCGCAAAGCGTTCCAGGACATGATACAAAACGATCATGTGCACCCTGGATTGATTTTGAACTTTGACCAAATGTGGAGAAATTCCTGGGCGACTTCAAAATTCAAGCTCTTCATGAAGCCTAGATCCGGGGCTGGCAAGCGTCAACCGAGAGGGAAGAAAGGACGGCGTGAGGACAAGAAGGTTCACCATGTCAAAGGCAGCAGGCGTGCGATGACAGTTTCTTGATCTTTATTGAACATTTTCACATGCTTATTATGTATTTGTCCCTCAACACCTGTGGATGACAGTTTTGATTAACATTTTAACATAGCACTGGGCAGAGGTGTTGGGAATGAACACTCCAGGTCATGACAAGCTCATGGAGCACAGGCGATCCAGGACCAATCGCAGTTTGTGTACCTGAAGGGGCTATGTCCGCATCCCAAATGAAGGAGTACAACCGCCGGAACGCCGGGAAGTCCTTCGTGGTTTCTTCCCAGACCTCAACACATTTTATGAACGGAGAGACCTTGTGCATGATCATGGAACAGCTGTATTCGGAAGCTTTCCAGCAGCAACGAACACGGTGACTCATCTGTATTATCGTGTTGACGGAAACGTGGATCAAGTTTTGAAAGAAATACATACTTAACGTGTGTGGTGGCTCGCAGAGGTCTACGTTTAATTTATGTGATCACCCTGTTTAGGTTGGGCCTGGACGTTAAAGCCCGTGGTGGACTTTTGTGCGACGCTTGGACTGGGACGTTCCGGAAGTCCCAAGGACTTCACTTGAGGAGGCCTGTCCCAAAACTAAAAATACCCTATACTCCACAGGCACTCATCCAGAAAAGTTGTTAACACATTTTAACGTGGCACCACGCATACTACCAATCTTCCCTGCAGCTCCTGGGAGGAACTTGTGGTACCAGACCCACAATATCCAACCCCCCCGGCTAAACCCGGGGGGTTGGAGCAGTCATGGTCAGCCGGTTGACCAATGTCATGGATGCTACCGGGCAGCGATCCGTTACATGGATCTCGTCAGCACGGGCCAGGTCCTGAACTTGAGGTGCCGGCAGCGTTGCTTGAACATAGACCTTGGCATATATGTTTTTTTTTGCACCTCTCCACTTTGTGTGTACTCCAGCACGTGTTGTTCTGTTTCAAACGTGCCTGGTGATTAAGGCTTTGAAGAATTGGATTTGACATCCAGCGGACAGGCAAGGGATGTAAAACATTTGGAAATACACTACACATGTACCAAGCAGGGGCAGGTTTTAGTTTAGTATGTTTAACAAAGACCATGGATGCACTGCTGAAGCCACCAGATGTTCTGTCAGGTGGCATCATCAGTGGTTTCTTGGGACAAGATCATCCAGATGTCTGTGGATGCATGGCAGAACCTGGCCAAATCCGTCTTCGAATCATCGTGGGTGGTGACTGGCTACTTCGAGCCAGAACACTTCCAGCAGTTTCATGGGACGGCGGCTGTGCCAACGGCACAGGCAGCAAAGACAGTCTTGGACCCCACAGGGCTCCTGGCAGGCGGAAGCACTACCTTGAGTCCCACGCCGCAATTTTGCACTCAATTTGAGTGGCAGCTTCAGGACTGGGTTCAAATCAAGTTGGGTCACATTTTTTTTACATAGCATTTGAGTCCCTGTAGGACGAGTCTGGAGATGGATGGAACGCACTTCCATATGAAATTGCTCATGGTGTTGTTCGCACTCTAGCCGAGCATGCGTACAACTTCAGGCTTGCGAAGAACGACTACAAGGCAATCCTAGAAGGAGATCCCGGAGCAACCTCGGTGAAAGCCAAGAAGCAGAAAGAGATCCTGTCCAAGCTTGAGCGGACAGACCGCTTTCTGGTGTTCAACCGTAGGACGGGGGAATTGGCAACCACAGAGTGGGTGAAGAAATACCTGACAGCAAACCCAGCGACAGGAAAACCGCAGATGAAGAACGAGAAAAGTACCGCCAAGCCATGGGTGATGACTTTGCGCATTGTCATCAACCAAGCGCTTGTAGAAGTCTCTCTCAGACCCTATGAGGCAGCAGATTTTCGTGCCGTGAGGTGCTACGACATCCAGAATGGCCTTCCGCAGAAGCAGCTCACGACTATCACGCAGGGGTACCAACATCTCCACCTCCGACCAGGTGATGATGGTGAGGAAAGCGAGCAGGAAACTTGGACTCTTTGGGCAGGGGGAGCAAGGGTTGGTGGGCGGGTTCTGGGGGCTGGAGGATGGAAGGACAGACTTTTAGATTCTTTAACCTGCCCCTTGACATCATCGTTATTTTTCTTTGAAGTCTTCTGCGGTACCGCAGCAATCGAAGAGGTTCATGAAGACAATTGGCAAGAACAGGAGAATGCGGACTTTACTGAGTTTGGTTAACCTAGCACTTGGCATCATTAAGTGAGATACAGCGACATTCTGGTCAGCGCTCTGTAGTTCACTGGCTCAAGCACAAACAAACCTTTGCCTCCAACTCTTGATCATGTGGAATGCTTGGCTTTGCGTGGTGATTGCAATTGGAGCAGTTGGAGTGGTGGCTGCTGTCTTGTAGCCCTGCCAGCATTCTGGACGGTGATATTTTGAGTTTTTCCAGGTTTGACAAAAGACATTGTTGGTCTGTTTGTCTTACGTATATATATATATGTATATACACGGACCTTGAGAATAGCACCCTCAAAGACGATGTTTCTCCACAAACCAGTGGTTTTCAGGGTCTATGTTAGTTTTCAGTGGGGTAGATTCTCTTCTCCCAGTCAAGGTTGTCTTGCCTGAAGCTTTCACTACTCGTGAAAAAGGGCGATGAGGTCAATGAGCCGACAACACCCCGTTCGATGCCAGGTCCAACGATTGTGGTGCCGCAGCGTGAGGTGCAATCTCATGTGCTTGCGATTGACCGATCATGGCAAGAGGACTTGGAGTTTTGGTCCTCAGACTGGGAGATGCCCAGCCCGGGTGGCAACCACGTGCGCATGGTTCGCGTGCGTAAGACCCGTAATTCCAAAGACTGGACTCCTGGACTGGCCCGTGTACAGTGATTGGGCAAAAGCAGACATGTAAAGAGAATGGTTGGCAATTCAATCTGACAGTGGCGAGCAGTGGAAAAGGCCTCAACCATGACAGGTGGAACCTGGTCTCCCAGTCTACTATTTTAACCTGGCATATCAGACAATTGTTTGTTTACTTTTTGGGGAACAGATCAACTAAAGTTGAAACAGAACGGAACAGATTTGCTCATGGGGCATAGGGGAAGAGGTCAAGGTCAAGATAAAGCCATATTTTTTGAATATATCATATACATTCATACACGCACAAAAAGAGCCTGGCTTTCTCAACCAACACCACCACACTAGTTTAACGTGGCACCTGCCACAAATGGTCATTTGTGCTGAGGAATCTGCTGGATCAGTAGACTTCTCAAATGATGATGATGGTGAAAGCCTTCCAGGAGATGAGCAAGGCCTAGAAGGCAGCTCTAAGAGGGGTTTGAACGCTGTATTGTTGTGAAGCTCCGGCTGTTGGTTCACCATATTGTACGGATGTGTATGTACACCAAGATTTAAAAGCAGACACTCTTTTGACTATCCCGGTAGGATACTTTTGTGTCAGTTACCCCGCTAAACGATGTTACTTAAACGTGAACTCAGTTGGACAACCTGTCAGGAACGATGGTGCAGGGGGGAGCCTGATCCAGCCCCAGCGCCCAAAGCAGGTTGTGATAAGGAGCCTACTCTTCCTGGTGAACGTTATCGGCCTGAACCAAACCATTCCGCAGAGCCGGGCATTCCTCCGTTGGAAGAGTGTAGTTTCATGGTTTGCCATGATGATGGCAAGTCCTCACCGGCTGAAGAGCCGGCAGAATTCAGGTCCAGGCCTTCGTATGTTCTTTTGCGAGATGAGGGCCTTACGGAGCTCCCTCCCGTCAAAGGAGCCGGTATTTACTACCACAATTCGACAAGCCAGTGGCATGCCATTTTTGGGTGCGCCTCAGAAAAACATAGAGCTCCCACTCATGGTGAGAATATTCGGTCGGAGCGGAAAGCAATTCTGCTCGCTCTGATTGCCATGTGGGAGTGGTATTGCACTACTACGGAGAACAAAACACATCACAAGTATTTAGCAGTGTTGTCCAAGGCCTTGTCCGAGACCCCATTTTGAGGTCTATGTTAAACCTGACCTTTTCTTCAGATATCCTCACAGCCAATGTTTGTCTATTTTACCTAAAGTTTTTCAGATATCCTTACAGCCAGCGTTTGTTTTTTTTTTTGGATTGAACGACCATTGGACCAAAGGCACGGAGTGAATCGTGAAATCGAGCTCTTTTCCCAGGCACGTGTGTCTGTTTCTTAGATTCCACCTCTCACACCCTCTTTAAACCCAGACATATTTAGCCTGTTTATTGTTTTGGAAGAGAGGCTCTTTCACGTGAAGGCTTTAAAAGTGTAGTGGGGCCGCAGTACAGCACTTGAGCACAGAGGCCCAACACACTTTACAATACTTACCAGAGACCATGCCACACCGGGGGGCGTGTGGAAAAAAATGTGCGTTGATGGCTCAGGTACCATGGTTTTTAACGTGTCATTTTTCAGCAGCAAACGTAATTAGACGCAGCAAGGTCCACGTTAACCATTTCACTAGACCGGTTGATGGTTGAATGAAAAATCATTGTGCTTGCATTCATGGTCCACGTTTTCGGTGACGTACGTCAAGGGTCCATGAAAGACCCCAAAACCGTTTTCCCCAGTGTAACCAACCGGTAGACATACACACGTTTAATTAGCACAAAAGTGTTTTCCAGGCACAGGTTAGTTTGCCAGAGCGTAAATCGCATTGCTAAGAATGTTCTTTGCTTCATTGCGCTAGTAAATTTGGTACCCACAAGCAATTATTGAGAGACTGGATGAGGATGAAGGTGGATGAGGATTGATGCAAATGGATGAGGTTGGATGCAGATGGATGACGATGCGTGAAGAGGACGAGAATAAGGATGGCCGGGGGTGGAGGAGAACGAGGAGGAAGGAAGGAAGGAAGGAAGGAAGGAAGGAAGGAAGGAAGGAAGGAAGGAAGGAATTACAGTACAGTAGGATAAGAAGAATGAAGATTCGTGAAAGACCAGAAGAATTGATAAGGATGTCGTGGATCTTCCCAGCCACCAGGGGGACTGAGGCATCAAATTCCTGGAGCAAAGGGGGAGAGGACCGTCCGTACCCGCCACCCACTACATCTGGTGGTCACCGAGATTGTGGGAACAAAGAATGCTCCGGATGGACCGAGGAAACTCCAGGCTATGCCACTAACAGCCAGGCTTGACTCGGCCATTTTTCTGTATCTGGTGTGTCCAAAGCCTCTGGTACCTGTGCCTGGTCTGTTCAAGGGCAAGAGGTTGCCCCAAGAGTTTCGGTTCGACGCATTGCTTCACAAAGTCTGCGGACAAAGAAACTGCTTGGCTGGGCAAATGGCCTCCTAATCAATCTTCCTTTCCTTCGCTTTACATCTCAGTGAGCTTGCTGTGGCAAGGTAGGAACAAAAAGGTCAACACGCAGCAACACCAACGTCCTACTCAATTACGAAGGGAGAACATGTTCAATAAACATGGTCTGTGGATCTGACTCGACTCAACATTCCCTCCAGAGCACAGTCTGTGTGACTTGACACGTTAATGCGCCACCTCAAGGTCTTCTTCAAGCTGCTGTATCTGTTCAGCCTGCCAGTGCTGACTTCGGCGAAGGTCTGCGGGTGTGTGGGGGGGGGCGTTCGCACTTTGGAAAAACAAGAATGGACATAGTTGAGTTAATTTAATTCCCTGCCCCTCTTCAACTACAAGCAGTTGGTTAGGTATGCTGAAACAACCTGTTCTTGATATCGAATGCTCCTGCATCTGGAGCTGTTTGCAGAGGCTAGGCACTCGAGCAATTGAACATGCATGGTGCGATGACAAAAACAGGACAGGTGACAGGAGACAAAAAAATATGATAAGACATGCAAAGAAACCCAAGAGTTGGCATGGCAAGGAGTGACACAAGAAACCTACCCCTATCATCAAGAGGAAGGAAGTGATACACCGCTCTCGCCTGACAAGTTCCCGCAGGTGTTCTTCTTGGTAGATATAGTTGGCAGAGTCTCAAAGTAGCTTAGGTGAAGTGCATCCCTCTAAGAAGCAGCTCCGGTCAAGTTTTCATGATGTTCTCCGCACTTCCGTCCGATTGGGGCCCAAAGTGCCGACTTCGCATCACCTCTCAAATTTGCTGATAAAGAGCTTGACTTGCTCTATATATATATATATATATGAATGTAATTGCTTTGATTGTGAATTGTGCAAAAGCAAGCTACACAAACAGCAAGCTACACAGACTTTGGACTGGAACTTGGGAGTTCGTTCCAGCATCTTACAGTGTTGGGCATGTGATGTGTGCCTAGGCTCTAGTTGCCAGCCCTGGTTGGCCAGCCTTCTGCCACGTGGTCTGTGAAATTTGCTGACTCATTTGGTCTGACAGCCAATGTGCCTGCTAAGATGTCATATCTCTTCCATATAAAAGGAGTCTACGGGTTGCGCGGCTAAATTAGAAGCCACAGCAGGTCAGGTCACATACGCCCCAACCTGCGACTGTTCGTTTCGGACTGCGCCATACAGCAAAGGACTTTTGGGTGGCGGGTTTGCTGGGTATCATTGAGCAGTGGAATTCATACTGTTCAAAAAAAGGATACTATCGGATAGCACTGCATTCAGTTACATGACATTTTTGCATGGAAACATCCTTGCATGGGACCTCTAGCGCAATTTGCTGTCAAAACGCGATGTGCTGTCATGGATCATCTGTACTGACTGAGCAACAAACCAGGGCCACTGTTTGAAATCAATGCTTGATCTAACAATGCTGCAGGAACTGATTTCCTTGCATCCTGACATTGATTCCTGCTGCAACTACCACAAGCAACCAATTCGAAATCAAAAACATCCAATCAACCAACAAAACATTACAGCACCAATGATCTTGTGGACTGTTTCGAGAAATTTGTGTTTTTGCACACGTTCATTGCATAGAGTGCCCTGCTCCAGATGTAGTTGAGCAGTGGAATTTTCTATTGAAGCATCCCCTGCATTTCGAAACAGTCTAGACCATTCCAGAAAGATTCTACACTGCTTGAGGTTCTTGCCCAAAAAACTACAAGAAACTGAATTGAGAACGAACACTTCATTTGTTTCTATCATACATCCTAAACACTTGACCCTGCTGAAAAGGATACAAGACACTCTTGCAAGCAGTTTGTGGCTGCATTCAGTCCCAACCAACTTGGTATGATTCTGAAGCATGTGTCATATTAGGTTACAGCATCATGAAATGGTAATTGGTTGTTGGTCATCAGGAATTGTTCAACCAGCAAAATGTTTCAGCATAAATCATGCCTTGCCCGTGCCAAATATCGAGCTTTGCATTATGGCTTCAATCGTATGAGACAGAGCAGTGGGCTGCACCAGTTCAGCAGAATCAAACAGGAAGATGCTTCCTTCACTTCAAGAGGAGGCCACTCAACAGCTCGCATTCTGAAGCTAGGAATGACGCACGTTTGCCTCTTCCAGAAAGAGCCCTGCTGCAAGCTACGTGAAGTTGTCAAAACATGGCTGCGGCCTTTTCTCTTGAGATCAAAGCCTTGGTTGGTTTTCGCCACTGCCAAAAGGTTCTGTCCACTGCTCTCTCACGCCTTTCATCGCTGCGCTCTGCGTTATCGGGCTTTGTGTTCTCCTTGTCCATGTCGGTGTCTTCTTCGCTCATGACCTCCTCAAGAAACGTCATCCTCCTCCTCAGGAACATCCTGCAGTCCAGCTCGAATCCGGTCTGTCGAACTGCCTGCATACGTCGTCCTCTCAGCTGCATTCAACGCCAGTCCAGCTAGGCTATGGTCGCCTGGAATGGCATTAGTTTCACCTCGTTGGCGTCGATCTCTTGAATCTTCAGCTTCATTGCTGCCAGCTGCTTCCATGTCATTTGCCGCTCTCTCGATTGCTTCTCGCTCCAATCGCTCGGCTTCTTGATGAATC